AGGAAGGTCTTTCTGCATGAAGGCCTTAGAAAGTGATTTACTATTAAAAGTGCTAACATTCAAACAGCTCCTACAGGACACGCTCAGTCGTTTTCTGAGTCGGCACCCTATGAAGAATAAACTGTCAGGGCAATGACCCTGAAAAACTCCAATGAGATCCAGCTTTCTTTCACTTAAGTGGAAAGATTCTCTATTGACTTCAGAAGGTACTAGACCAGGCTTTATGCTTCTCCCTTCACCTCACTTCAAGATGGATGAATTTACTGCAGTGTCAGTGCAGATTTTCCTGATCATGAGTTATCCCTCAGCAGAACTCTACTTTGTTATTTGAAAATATCTGACAAATTAACTACACAAATAAACGTAGGTTAACAAATTTATTGGATTACATTTTCTATGACTTCTGCTTAGAGCCGTCATTATTCTGGACAGAGATTTAGAGTTTCTGAATGAGAACTGTTTCCACTACTCCACGTACAAAGACATTCCTTGGTAAATACAGGAAAGGTTTTCTGTATGATTACTCATGATCATATGCATTAACCCAAATATTCTGGCTATTGTCTCACTGCAGTAGTGCTCAGGGAATTGGAAATGATATATGCAGCTGTATCAGGAAGAATGAAAAAACAGGAGGGTCTATACAAACATAATAAAACCCTTTTTACTGTGAGGCTGACCAAGCATGGGCAGAGGTTTTGGAGTCTCCATTCTTACAGATACTCAAAAGTTACCTGGACATGCTCCTGGGCAGCCTGATCTTGTTGATCCTCCTTGAGCAAGGGTGATTAGACAAAGTTACCTCCAGTAGTTCCTCAGCCATTCTGTAATTCTTTTTATTGGTTTCACTAGCTACTGAACTACCTTTTTGCCTCCCTGGAGTATTCAGCATCAGTCTGCAAATATAAAACTGTAATTTTTCCAGCATGAACATTTATGCCATTACCTTCACTTTAGCAGAGGTCACACTGAAGAACTTATCCTCAAGTGCCTGTAAGAAGTCTGCATTCAGGTAGGTGTCCACAGTGGTCTGTGCATCTAAGAACTTCTGGATGATGTCTTCATTATAGACTTCAAAATCAGAGTCAAAGATTAATAGTTTGGTCTGTGCCAGTACTTGGAACTTGAATCTAATGTTGACTGGAGAGCCAGAATTACAGGTGATATTTGGCAGCGACTTCATCTGGAGTAAAAGCCTGGGAAGGAATCCTTGCAATTTCTGCTTCAGAAGCACTGTGGATGCTGGCTGCACACGTCTTGAAATATCAATAGCTATAGAAAGACCTATGTCGCAACCTGAAAAAAAAAGTAGAAGAAACAGGAAACTATGAATATACACTATTTATGATCTCTCTTTTGTTAGAGTCATGGGAATGGAACAAAATTCAATGTGGTAAATTTAAAACTGGAAGTCAGAATCAGCAAGACGGCATTTTATATTTATGGAAAATACAGCAGTCAACCAGCTTCAGTGGGGATATGTTAAACTTGCAGATATTAGGTTCTACATCACTGATCACTCTTCTCCTGCCATCAAATGTCCTCAAAGGGCCTAATCTCACAAGTGTTTCCGTGAGCTTGGCTACCAACTTAAAATGTACAACAGATATTCCAATTGCAATGGCTTGATGGCTGACTGTGCTTTATTGCTTTGTCACAAGACCAAATGATACATATAAATGTAGAACAGGCCAAAGAAAAAGACATTACAGAAACAGGCAGCATTGCCTACATGCAATGTGAATATCCACTGTGAATAACAGATGTTATAAGATGAGGGCTATCTCAGTTACGGAACTAATTGAATAGCTCCTGATAAGATACTGTGCAAATACTGTGATGTGGTTAATTCCTCCCTCTTTTCCAAACATCTTGCCCTCATCAAGCAGCTAAACCACTTGGCTTATTTCTTCTGTACCTTGATTCTTCATGTGTCGTAGTGAATTTTATTCTGTGTCCCTATATGTATTATCATCCACTGTTGTACCTCTGCAAGGATGTCAGACGTGGTTTTATCTGTAAAACAGCACTTCATCTAATTCTGTTACTTCTTCACCAATTGGCTCTGAAAAACTTATTAAGCACAAAGTTGGTTTCCATGTTTGCTAGTTTGGGCTAGAACCTATAGACCATTATATCATATAAACTCCATTACAGTTATCTGGGTTTTCCCTCCCCTATGAAAAAGATGTGTTCAGTTCTCTAACCAAATAAATACAGAAATAACTTCACCTCAGAGTGGCCATCGCTGCATTTCAGTATTTTCACTTGCGGTACAAACTGCCCCCTAGAGGGTATGATTTGCATGAAAATCTTTAAAAGTTCACATTGGATCAATACAGTTTTTCTGTTTAGCCCACAACAAAAACTTTCTCTTAAACAGTTCAATATATCTATACACGCTTATATGCCCACACACACATGCCCCTCAGTCATGCCCCTTAGCCAGGCTGTGAGGCTGTACTTGAGACTTGAGACTTCAAGATTCACAGAACACCTGTGATGCAAAGGCCATAATCAGTTCAGGGAAGAGCATTTTTCTAATTGTGAGGGATGCTTCTGATTAAAAATTTCCATTAATATAAAATCTATTTGATTTTTCTTCCAGTACATGTTCATGTCCAGCATGCACAGAGTATGCTTTCATTATGAGATTTTTCTCAGATCTGGGACTTCTTAACCACATAATTTGCAGGGAGGGGGAAGGGCAACCATGGATTTAGCAGAGTAGCCCTGACAATTGGTCAGCCATGCTGCCTAGCTCTTAAAACATTCACTGCCAAGTCGCCAGCATACCAGCAATGATGCCAAAACAGTGGTAAAACATGCCCTTTTGTGCTACTGTGCTGTGCATGAGAACGTGCAAAACAGCTTCTGGTAGGTACTCCATACTCTGTTGATAATCTGCATTAATTTGCAGAAATAAATACCTCTGTGTAGCTAACCTCCTCTTCTAGTCACCTCTTCTCCCACACACATCCACATTGTTAAACTGCCCTGTCTTACTGCTGTTGAGTTACTGTAACTTGAATGCAGTTTTTTTAGTTTAAAAAATGTCGCAGTTTAAGAGAAGGTGACTGGAGAAAGGTGATTTAATAGATTTATTACAGGAAAGAAGGTCAGCAAATATAGGAAAACATATGACAGGACAAGACAAAACAGGGTTCACATGAAGATGATCTTTGTTTTATGAAACAAATTTATGCAGAACTTAATAAATACAGGCATCGGTGAGATCAAAGCCAATATACTTTCCCTAACTTACCTCTCTCTCTAAACCAGTATACCTGTATATATATTTACTGCTTTATCTCAATTAAATTTCTCTGTACTCTGGCCATGAAACACCAGGAGGTGCTACTGCATAAGCCACGCCCATGCTGTTCAGCAGCAGCACACTCCACTTCCACTGAAGCCCTCTCTCTTTTCAAGATTCCCATCTTTTCAGCAGAAGGTTTGCTCAGTTCCCGATGGGAAATAAGGGGGTGGGAGGTACAGAGCCCATACTGAAATAGGCCCAGCTGTCCTCTCTGAAAACCACCTGAGTAGATACAATGCACACAAAGAGAAGCTTCTGGCTTCAGGAGGGAAGGCTTAGCTCTTAAGTTTGGCCCCCGTCACCCTGGCAAGCACCAGCCAGTTTTGCTGTGTGTAGGATCTCACAGGCCTAGGGTGTGGGAGAGGCAGTTACCTAATTGTTCAGCTGTTGTCACAAAAAGCCTTAGACAAGCAGCGTGGTCATCCCAGTGTTCCTTTCTCACAACAAGTTTCTAGTCACTGAGGGAATGAAGCCTGGAGAGCTGGGTAGGATCCGTTTTCCGGCATAATAAAAAAGACAAAGAGCATGTATCCAACACATGCAAAACATTAGTTACATGATGAAAACACAAGGAAGAAAACAAGGAGTTTTATAGGACAGTCACAGTCCCTGTTAAGGATGGGCACAGGGAAAGCTGCTTCAGCACTGTCCTTCACAAATGAAACTGGACTCAAATGTGTCCTTTAGTGTCAAGAGTTTATGGAGAAGGGGATTAAAGTCAAGTGCCTAATGACCAGCATAATCTTTAACCCCTAACCTTTATTCTTCTTTGAGAAAAACTAGTGGAGGTATTCATACTGACCTCTGCAAAACCAGAAAAAAAAAAAAAACATTACAAATTTTAACTACATAATATTTTAAAGAATTTCTGTTCTGATTTTAGTTTTGTCACCATGCCTCTTTTATATCCCTCCACCTTTCACCATTCAAAAACAATCCTTAAAGAAACAGGGAAAATACATGTTCTGTGAATTTTGCTGTTCAGCAAGTATCTTGAAAGGGAAAATATTACTTCCCTTCATTCTTCATAACTCCTAGAATGCTCTACTTGAAGTAGGTTTTTGCAGGAAATAAGAGTTACCAAAAGCACAACTTAATAAATAATTATGTGTTCAACTGTTCAAAGAGCACTAAGTACAAAATTACTTTCTCATTTTAACAGTTAAACCTCACTGACTTCAATGCAGACACTGAAATGCGTTAAAAAGACCAGGGACATCATCGTGAACTGCAGCCTAACTCAAATTTAGCCCCACTGTTTTCAACTCCGTTACATGACAGTAACATTGATGTAAATTACATCAAAACCAGGACCACTTTCCTACACCTCATTGTCAGTTACACAATATGAATAACTGAAGTAGCACATGTATAATAACAGCTTCTTACCTTCTATCTCATTTTCAACTGCAAGGCAGAAGTTTCGCAAAAGTCTTCTGGAGAGATCTTGAAGGTCATCAAAACTACCAGCACTATACAGATATTTCCCAAATGGTTTGCTGGCTATTTGCTGAAGCTCAGTTGTATTCTGGACACCAATTCCCACCACATAGAGGGAGATGCCTCTGTTTCTCAGTTTTCTAGCAGGCAATTCAACTTCATCGCTGGATTCTCCACCAGTGATCAGAATGGCTACCTGTGGGACATAACCCTTAGCTCTGCTACCAGCAGGTTCAGTGAAGTACACTTCATTGACAAAATCCAGAGCTCTCCCTGTGTAAGGTTCTCCACTTCTATATGGCAAATTCCCAATTTGCTCCAGAACATCACTTTTCAAATACTGGTTCAGCAAGAATTCTTGGTAAGTCTCATTACTGTATTGTGCCAGCCCAACTCGGATCACATCAAGGCCAACATCAAGACTCAAAACCAAGGTGGAGAGGAAGTTCTTCACCTTCTGAAAGTTTTCCTGGCCAATACTTGTTGAAGTATCCACTAAAAAAACAACATCTGCCAATGTGCCTTTTCTGCAAGCTGTCCAAGAAAGATCACAGAGAAGAATGAATTATTATAGCTTCTCCAGCTTTGTTCATCAGCAAAGGAAGAACTGACTCTACATTTTATAATTAATGAAATAAATTGCAACTGTTTTGCATGCTTCTGCCTTTCCCTCTCCCATCATTATTTTTCAATATTTTAAAGGTAGACAGGCACTTAACATTTATCCCAATTATGAACTGATTTTATTGAAAGCTAGTTAGTAATATATGGATGATGCAAAAAGTTAAAACTTCTTGTCAGAGGCTAAATCGTTTTGCAACACCATTATTAGGTAAAAAAGAAATGCTGAAATTCACACTGACACAACTTCCACACTCAGCCTGGTAATTGCTGTACACACTTCTGTATGTGAACCACAACCATAAGAATGTCTTAACCTACTGTCAAGTGAGCTCAAAGCAAAAGTTACTCATGCACTTCGAGCTGCATTCTGCAAGCATACATTACTTATAAATATTTATTATCTGAGGGGAAAAATAAATTCATACCATCTTAAACAGGACTAAGCACACTGACTTGTAGTAAATACTAAACTCATGTTGTTTCCACACCTTTCAGAAGCATATGATGCTAGTAGGGCATGGATGAAACAGTTACTATTATTCAAACCAACAGTCATGCAGAAAATGTACTGCAACTGGACAAAACATTTTCTCCAGTAGCTCTTCCAAAAGACCTGACTACCAAAATTAAAATGCTAAAGCCTGTGATTTATCTTGCTTTTGGCAATCTTACAATTAAGGAGTTCTGGAAATACCAAACTTCAGCATGAATGAACAAAAGCAATTTTTAATGAGCTGCTACATTTAATTTTGCATTTTTTTAGGATGACTCTCCTACCCTAGTTTCAATATATGTTTCATAAAAATATACATTATCCCTAGTTATACAAAGAATAAACTGTCATGAATTCTTCATCTCTCTCTGGCATTGGGTATAAATGGAAAAAATAATTTTGCTATCAACTTGAAGAAGCATAATTTCTTGAGTGTATTACCAGTCTGCTGTGCAACTATAGAGCAGAAGGTCGAAACAAAGAGAAGAAAAAGAATTGGTTTCCAGTCATCCATTTTGAAATCTTCCCTAGAAAAAAAAACAAAGACATTAAGAAATACAGGCAAATTTCCTCAGGAAGAGATTTTTAATTGTGGAGAAAACGGGTAAGTGCATTTTATTATCAACATGGAGACTTTCTTGCTATATGCAATCTAAAGCAACCCTTAAACTTCATCTTTTCTTCTTTTTTCAGCTTTCAACAGAGTTGTTAAAGTTTGACACTGATGTACAGCATATAACCAAAATGAACTGCTCACTGCTCTGCTCTTACAATCGTGCTTTGTTCTGATGCACACAGCTATATTTACCACATCCAAAATTCAACTAAAAGCAAGCTATTCACAATAGAGTTACGAAGCAAAAATTCCCATCTAGCTTTGAAATTCCCCACCCACATACCTATTTAAAAGAAAAATTGGGTGGTGCTATCTATATACAACACACATAAATAATAAGCATTCATTTACAAATGAAGCTAGTAACGAAGACACTTTCCATATAAAAGTACAACATGCTGTGGGAAATGGGAACAAAAATGACTTAGCAAGACAAGTACATCAAGCCACACTGAGCTTAAGCAAACTAAACAAGTGAGAAAAATCAGGTTTGAAGAACTTTCAATTCTAGAGCACATATACACCAAATAGCTTGAAGTATAAACAGAAATAATAAACCAGAGCCTTGGAGGCCAAGCCTACAAAAAGAGGGTAATATGAAAACATTTCATAGGTGGTTGTTCTGCTTAAGTTCTCCTTCTTTTCTGACTAGTTCTAGCTGTTTTCCTCTTAATTCCACCCTCACATTCTGTTCCAGATAAAAACTGAGCTGCATAGCACAATGCTGATGCCAGCAGATGGGAAAAAAAGGCTTTTTTTGTAAAATTTATTAATATAAAGGCCAAATGCTTCTGCATTCTGGATAGGTTGGCTACGTATTGCCAGCCAGGAGGATGAGAAAAACAGATATAGTGTTTGTTTATTGTATGACCTTTGGTTATTCGAGTATCTAAAACAGACAAATAAAAGATGCCACTGCTGCTGCCAGCCAAAGTCACTCCTCTCACCAGACCTTTGTGGCTGGTCCTCTTTCAACTGAGAGCAGATGTCTTCAGAACAAAAGTCCACCTTGCCCAACCCCTTATCTTTGACAATGGCCATTAGCTTAAAGAAAGGGCATAAAAGGAAAGTTAAATAATGTGTCTTCTCCCTTCTACAAACTGGTTTAAAGGTTTCCAGGTTGCATTTGGGTGAAGACCACACTTCCATAAATGCTTCTCATCTCTACAAAGCCAACTGTATTATTATATTAAAGTCACAAACCAATTAGGTTACCATATTGTAAATATAATTTATATCATACTGAAAAATTCTTATGGTTGAGTGGACCCAGGATGTTGTTGACACCTATAAGAGGAACTACAGAGAGAGAGGGTCTTGAGGACCCCAAAGGACCCAGGAAGGTTGGAGACCCAGGAGAACGGGAAGCTCAGTCCCTTTTTCCTTTGCCTTTCTTCCTTGCTGCTGGTGGTTCTTCAACTCACCACATGTTCTCCAGAATCCAGTTCTATCAGGTGCTGTGAGGAGCCATGTTCCCCTCTCCTGAGGCACTCTTGCTGCTAGGGACTCTCACTTAAAAAGAACAGAAGGCAATGCTGGGGTCTGTGCACTGTGGAAACCTTCACGCCTCTGCATGTTGCAGTTCTCTCTAATAAGCACTTCTAACATAAGGGAAACTGTGGTATGTCATGTGTGAAGCCAGAGCAAATAAAAATGTTTTGCAATCATACGCCATCTTTCCAATTAAATTTTGTCTTGGATTTAACTTTTCTGTATATATTCATGATAGCTACTGAACCTCTTAAGAGCTTGATCACTTTGACAGAGATTTGATTCCCAGTTATTCTCTTTTCACTACTATGCCTCATGACATCACCCTCTTTTTTAGACATAAGTAAAAAGTTTATCCTGAGACACAAATATTTTAATGGTATTCAAAATGAAAACAATCATGATTACTAACTTACTTTACCATATCATGGAGTACCTACTTTGATGGCATAATTATTGTGCCAGGAAAGCAGTAAGCATCTTGAACTATATGGTTTTAATAAACTGCGCATGGATCTATAGACTCAGACAAAACCATACAAATTCAAGGGCAGTGAAGTAAATCACTGCCAGTATTGCCAAAGCCTCTAGTTAGTGTTTCAGTCTAAAAATTTCTACCACCATGAGTTTGTGAAAAACTCAGGAGCACCAATATGACCATGCTTCCAGGGTCTATGGGGCTGTCCACAGTCAGATGAGCAAAATGTAACTGCTGTTATAGCTAGGGGCTAGATTTTCCTCAGTAATGTTAACATCTGAATTTTGTACCAAAGTCTAGCTATTGCTGTTCAGATCATACACAATTATCAGTGACTGTTGAGCTATGCAACTATTTCCGTACCTCCTAACATCTGTAGTCTCTGTTTGCCTACTTCTTCTTCCAGACTCATGACTCGAGAATGTTTCCTGCTCATGGGGTCAGATACCCTGCACCTGCAAAATCTCTCCCACTCTTCCCTAAACACTGAGTGCAGATGGGAACCTATTTCACACTTGCTCTGTTTTTCCCTTCAGTAGCTTCTGTTGACATTGGGCAGGTTCTTTAAATACACTGCAATTAAAAAACATACATGAACTAATCTTCCCATCTTTTACCATTTGTTTTGCTTTATCTTCACATAGGAAATTCCGATACTGCACTACAAGGTGCATAAGCAGTGGTATTTATGCATTCTATGTGTATTCATTATTTGCTGAAGGAAAATGAAAGTAGTAATTTAATAGAAAACTCATGTCATGTAGCTCATAGATATGACAAGCCAAAGCCTAAATAACTCACTCAGAAACACATAGTGTCTCAGAGCATTACCACTTCTGCATATTAAGCTAGCAATATGTTAATTCCAAAATATACTTAAACATAAAACAGTATATACAAGGTCCTAGCATAAGCTACTGAAAGATACTTATCTGTAGTAGTTTAATAAATATTTATACGCATAATCTGTGTAACATTCTAAGACAGCAATTCTCAAAAATCTAAGAGCTGTTTTTACTTTAATGCCATTTTAGGAGACAACAGTATGAAAATTATTAAAAGTCCTTAGAAAACAGTATAAAAGAAAACATATTTTAAAGCTTATTTTACTTTCAGCATTTTCCCTTATTTGTTCCCAGAGACCCACCAATATGTATACAATAAATCCCAAAGAAAATTATCAGCAGCACTTCTGAATTCTTTAAATGGTTCACAAATATTGCTTGGAGCTATATTTAGTTTTTTCCTTTTTTAATCAACTAATGTTCTAGTTTTATCCTCAGTTGCTTCATTTTTTTACACAGCTAAAAGAAAGTAATTCTGTAGATGTTTGCTGCCAGAGCAAAATGCATGGTCAAATGTTAATACACTTCTAAGTATACTATCACAAGTATGGAGATTTTGAGGCAACATCTGGTTTTCACCTATAATTTATAACCTTGTCACATGCAGTATCTCCCTCCACAATCCTGGTTTGGGGACATTTTCCCCTTTCCATTCGTATACACTAAGAGAACAAACACAATCTTTCATGTGACAACTCTACCAATGCAAATGAATGTGATTTTGTAGCTTTCTCCTACCTACTGAAGTACACCAGTTAGTTTCTTCACTTTTTATGCAATGATTTCATTCCTTCCATAGTCTTTGGAAAAAGCCTGAGTCCTGGAGTGCAGCAGACAGACAGCTTCAGCTCACATGCCCCAGTCAGTTATCCCTTTCCTCCACCACCTCCTTTTCTCTCATAAGGCAAATTTAAAGCCTGGATTCCATCTGTGGAACTTCCTGATCTCATCAAACAGTAAAACCAGGACAAAACCATCTCACCCTCCCAACCTCACCACTCTCCTCATGTGTCCAATTATTGAAATTTCACCAAGACAAACTAATATCAGAAGGATAAATGTTTCCATAAAATCATGTAAAATATTTTCTAAGTGTCAATTCATTATGTAAATTAAGAAATCTTTTTATTAGTTATCTTCTCTCTACAGGCAACTTTTCCTACAAGTACATTATCTTTTTATTAGCACTGACATGTCTCAGGAAGAAAGTTGCAGCTTTACTTGCTGCAGCTTTACTGGTTTCTCAGGCAAGTTTCCTAACAATTGCAGATACAAGCTCATGGCGAGACACTGATTCAAGCAAAGAGATCCTGGGTGACTTACCTGACTTAGGAAGACAGTGGGATCAACATGAGGTTCAAGTTATTCTGTTATTGTACACATGACATTGTACATGGTTTTAGACTTTTCTCCCAGTTAGTTTCTTCAAGAAAGAAGTCAGAGGGAACGTTACTCTTCACCTTCCACCCCAGATGGAGGAAAAAATTTGAAAATAGAACACTGAAAATGGAGTTGTGAAGCTGAAAATATCTTAACCTTGTTAAATGAGCTCATATCTAGCAATAACTCATTCTGCCCCAGAATAAGATCACTTTCAAACTCCTACCCATTTTGTTCTTTGGTCTTAATAAGATAAAAGCATAAGGGGACCTCCTATGATAATTTGAGATTTTAATCAATAACATGTATACATATAATTATAATTATATTAATTTCACAGCAAGGTGGGTTTGCTCCTCCTAAGGGACTTGTTAAAAGGGAGTAAAGGAGGATGAAAGATCTCCTTGATGTAAGAACTACATTTGCCAAATCAGAAAGTCCTTATGGAGCAAGAGATGCACTTGTTATTGTTGTTCTCCCTTTCCCATCAATCCTGGCTTTAGACTTACTTTGCATAAGATATGTAGTATCATGTGAATAAGAAGCATCATAGCAGTACCAAGAATCAACTTTGCCTATAGAAAAAAATACAAAGGTGACCAATTAAAAAGCATGAAGGCAGGAAATAATAACCATCTGACATATCTTGTAAAATGGGACAGCTAAACCTGGATGATGATATAAGTAATTTATTATATCCTTGCCAGTTCCTTTGACTGGAAAGCAGACAAATGGGAACAGCGTAAAGGTTAAGAGTATCAACTTTACCCACATGTGCTCCACTGACTCATTTAATAAAGGATATTAAGTGAACTAAACACAACCCTTTCATTCATGAAAGAGCTTCTCAAAGCCAAAAGTGCTTAAGAAAACTAGCAGATGTGACTCTCCTGCTCCTAGGAATACTGAGAGGGAAAGCATCCTATACACAGAAGTACTGAAACCCAATCTCATCTGGAACAAATTACTGTTATAAAAAGTCTTGCTTTAGAATAGAAATAGTGTAAGTCAGCTCATGTTGAACTACCACAAAATGGGGAATTCAAAATTGAGGGCAACAGTTTACATGGAACTTTACAGAAGTTTTTGAAGCCCCAGTACGTTATGCACTAACGCAATCGGAGCTTACTGGTGGCGGCAAGATGCAGATTCTTATTTTATCAAAGCTTTATTTAAGAAAACTGTGACCCTGCAATAGTAAGAGATTTAAAACTTCTGGTCACATCTCTTGGCTAAAAGAATCTGATTGTCCTCTTATTTTTAATGTTGAGAATCATGCACAGTTTTACCAAGATCTTCCACTTCTGATAGCTGGAAAACATGATGCTAGAAAGAATCAAGATTTTTTTGTTGTGAGTATCTTCACAAGACCTGCCCCAAAAACAACTGGAAAACTGTCATTTTGTAGCTAGAGATATAAATTATATCTCCTCTTTCTTGCCAGTTCTAAGGATTACTTATAACTAGTCTTTTAAAGTAAGTAAATTTTAAACCAAATTTGCACTAAGATGCAAAAAATACATATCCCGTAATAAGAAAAAACAAAGAAATAAAGAAAGCAGTGTGCTGTTCGTTTTGATGTCTCTGACACTTTCCAGTGCTTTTCTCATTGCCATAAGTCTTAGAAACAGCAACAGCACTATTTCTTGTCTATCTTTGCTTACTTCAAACCACCAAAACTACTGTTGTGCCCTGTAATTAATTCAAAGCTCATCATGTCTTGTCAAATGAAATATCGTTATAATATTCACAAAGCAGACATTCTAGTTAAAGGATGTTACACATACATTTCTGAAGCATCCTAATATTATTATTGGGTGCCTATTTTACTTGGAATCACTTAGAATAAATTTTGTTTATCCAAAGGCTCTTTGCTTATTCACTGAAACAAACAACATTTGTTTAACTGAATATTATATTTGGATTTGAACATGTAGAAGAATTACGTGACTGTATGCAGGCAAATGAGAGCTAAAGAGCTTTATGGTCACCATCTTTAACACTACGGCTGTTTCAGAGGCAATGAAAATTAAGCAGCATGTTTTATATCTTGCCACTTGAGAGAACAAACCAAAGTAAATGCTAGAAGTGTCAAAAGGTGACAACTTTCTCATATGCCTGAAGCACTTTCGCAGGTAACTTAGAAAATGTTTTGTGTGACACATGAGATATAATGTAAGTTAATGCATATGCAAGCATTTTTAAATAATCCTCAGAAACATTACCACTATATTAAAGCTCTCAGTAGGAAACACAGTTTTGCAAGGAACCAAGGAACTTTAAAAAGTGGCTTCACATCACACTGAACCAACATAAGAGTCCAAAATTCCAGTTTCTGCTTGAAGAGAAATGAATTTGAAAATAATCTGGCATCCCTCAAAGTGCTGCATTTTTTCAAAAAGCAGAATTCATGGATTTTTTTGAAATACTATAATATCAAGCTTTTAAACACCAAAATGAGTTATATACTATATAATGCTTGCAAAATGAGGGTGCTTTTTCCTTCATTTTTGCAGAGGGAAGACAAGGAACCAAGCTGTTACAAACAAAATATCTGCTAATACAGTATAGTCAGCTTCAAATGTGGCATTTCAGAGCACTTTGCACTCAAATCACATCTCTGACTGATCTCAGTTAAAAAAAGCTAGACTCTGGGGGAAAATAAAAATAATTTAAAAATCATGCATGTAGAGTTAAAAAAAAAAAAAAAAAGAAAAAAAAAAGACAAAGTAAAACAACCCCCAAACTCCTAGAATACACAATTAGGGACTACCTTTGAAAAGTCTGTCATATATGATTAGTCAGCATTACACAGGACTACCTTGGCAGATGCAGGAACATCATTTGAGTCTCTACAGTAGCACTGAAAGTGCCAGGTTCTCTACCTTCAAAGCCCTGTCTCTTTTGTCCCAATAAATTCAGTAAGAACTGCACACATAATCCCCTTCACTACTTTTTTTTTTTTTTTTAAATCCACAATGTCAGTTCTTCACACATACTGAAAAACCATGTAGAAAAAATAATTAGATAAAACATGCAATTAAACACGGGTTCATACTGCATAGGCACAGGGAGTCAGTCACAGAATTTGGCCTCTACAGCACCATCTACAAAAATAATCCTCTTTTCTTAGGACACAGAAAAGTAAAAAAGAAATATAGCATCACTGTTTTTCCCTGAGTACTAC